ACGCTACATAAGCACATGCCTGTTGCAATAAAATGAGATCCTGCTTCGACAAGTCTCCCAACTCAGTGTGGTTCTCTCTGGTGACGAGGAGGGGGATCTGGGTCGTTGACAATCTCCATCCCACTCAGCCCCAAGAAGGGACCAGCAGGACCAGCTTCTCCACAGCTCGACCACCAGAGAATCTGGCATCGTCTGACAGATAATCTAGGCCTTAGCCAAAGTTGGCTGCCCCAAAATTCCTGTGAGAATTAAGGCAACTCTCCAGGTAGCTAGTTCATTCTGTCATTTCTTGAACCTTTGGGAAGTTGTCCACTGAACTTCCTGCTTACTCAGCTTTTATTTTCCTTCTTGAGTCTTTGATGGGGTTGGAGATATCCCGTCATATCTTAGCTAAGACATTTAGGTGCAAGACTTGGGGACTCCTAGGGATAGGACAGCTGTTGGATCTCTCTATTTTTTTGCCTATATAGTTTTGTATTAGGTTTAGAACCCTCCTATTTCGACAAAAGGGAAATTGTGGGAACGCATTCAGTCAATATTCTTTGAGGTACCAATGTGGAGCAGTCTCAGGTGCCTTGGGTGGACTGAAAATAGGCTGGCACTCTCCGGGGTGGTGGTCGGAGAGCTGAGAGCACATCCTTCACTCCAGGGCAGAAGACCGAAGCAGCCTTTTACCTTCATTGTTATTTGGTATTTTTAATCTGGGAGTTAGTGAACTTCCTTACTCTGCCTATGGATATTCACCTGCAAAGAAAGAAAACAATCCCTATCTTTCATCCTGTATGAAAATCTACACAGGGCTAGGCATGATGATGCATGCATTTATTCCCAGCACTTAGAAAGCAAAGGCAGAAGTCTATCTGTGAGATCAAGGCCAGCCCGGTCTACAATCAACTGTAGATAAGCATCAGTTACATAGTGAAGGTCCCTGTCTCCAAAAATAATTCAAAGATCAACTCAAAGTAGACCAAAGACCTTAATTTAAAACATGACACTGCAAGAGGAAATCACAGTGAATGCTGTTTAAGATGTCAGTATATGCAAGAACTTTCTAAATATAATTCCAACAGCACAGAAATCATCCCTCAGTAGGGACAGCAGGGCGGTGGTGGCGCACGCCTTTAATCCCAGCACTCGGGAGGCAGAAGCAGGCGGATCTCTGTGAGTTCGAGGCTGGGCTGGACCGACAGCCTCGAAAACAATACAGAGAAACCCTGTCTCGTAAAAAAAAAAAAAAGCAAGAAAGAAAACAGTAGTGACTACATGAAATTGAAGTTTCTTTATAGCAAAAGACATGAATAGCCCACAGAATGAGAGAGACACTTTACCAACTATACTCAGACAGAAGGTTAATATCTAGAATTTACAAAAAAAAACTGGAAAAAAAACAAACAAAAACAAACACCAAAAACGCAAAACTGCCAATCAACAAATGGGCTAATGAACTCGTTCTCTAAAGCAGAAACACATGGCCCAAAATTATTTAATAGAAAGGAAAAAAAAAGTTCAGGCAGGCAGTGGTAGCACATGCCTTTTATCCCAGCACTGGGAGGCGGAGACAGAGGCAGGATAAGGCCAACCTGGTCTACAAATGGAGTTCTAGACAGCCAGAGCTACAGGGAAACTGTCTCAAACACAAACAAGAATGAAAGAAGCCTTTCACTATTCCTAACCATCAGCAAAGTGTAATGAAACTACTTCCAGGTAACACCTTATCACAGTAAAAATGGCTTATCAGGAAGTGTGACATATGCTGGCCAGGGTGTGGGGAAAGAGATTCACTGCTGAGAGTACAAGTGAGAAATTACAGAAATCATGAAGGTGTTTTAAAAAATTAAAACTAGATCTACCATGTGACCCAGCTACACCACTCCTGGGCCTACACCCAAAGAGCTACATATACTACCAGAAACATATATGTTTCTTGCTATGTCCATAACAGCAAGGATATGTAGCCAGTCTAGATGTCTACCAAAAGAGAAACAGAAAACAAAAAGAGTATCATTTAGTTGTGAAGAAAAAAGAAATTTTCAGGAAAGACGGGCATATCTAAAAAGTATATTAAGAAGGTGACTCAAACTCAGACAAAAACTGTACATTTTCCCTCATCTAGAGATCCCAGGTATAAAGTCTTAAATTCTAGGAAGGAACTCAAGAGAGTAGTAATTGGTGACAAGGATAGACAGACAGGACAACAGCTCATGAAATAAGGGTACTGCAGGTGGGGAAGATGAGAACACATTTATTCCAACAGGAGCAACTTGTGGTTCTGTGGACAGAGGTAGTAACTGCTAAGTAACTAGTATGATAAGGTCGCTGGAAAAGTCCGGCAGCAGCCTTGCAGCAATGGACTTCTGGGGCACTGGGGCACCTCCCATTGACCATCCCTGCATAACCTGATGGGGAGGCAGGAAATTAGGACACAAGGGGGCTTGGGGGCCGTGTCTACTTTCAGACACCTTCTTGCTGGCCTCAATTTCTGTAGTTCTAGCACTCAGCCTGAGTGCTAGAACTACAGAAATGTGCCACCAAGCGCTTTAAATGTTGTTTTCAAAAATAGAATTTATTTTTTGACAATTTCATACATGTAAACAATACATCTTGATCATCTGCACTCCAATACCCCTCAAACTCCCCCAATACGATGACCCTGTCCCTCAAAGTTTTGAATGAACTTAAGAGTCCTGTGTGCTTAGTGCCCCAATGTTTACCTTAGATGTAACTGGTCCTAAGGCCTAACCCATCTGAACAGTTTCAGTGAATTGCATATGACTGTCACAGAGGGACATAAACCCAATACCACAATACTGGAGCAACTGCTTGCCAAAGAGGGAAACCCTGAAGCCAGGGGAATACAGCAGGATCTGCTTCACTGATTGTAAAACCGGCATGCCCGAAAAGGGATGTTGGAGAGCTTTTTGTCAAGTGCCACAAAACTAGACTACAGAGATGGCACAAATACTTGAATGGCAGCTGATATTTAAATAAAGGCACACACACCCCATGTGCACAAATGGTACTTCCAGAACCACAGGCTGTTAAATAAAAACTCCGATACCAGTGGTGGTCTACCTTCCCAGGAGCTGTTGGCCAGGGAAGATAAACCCCACTATTGTCACTAAACTTGGGTGTGTACCAGAGGTTAGGTGGTCTTCCCTGACTTCCGAAGACACCAACCTGGGCTTAAACCAAGATACAATGCCCCATCCCTAGTGGTGAGCCTTCAGTGTCAGGGGGTGCTAGTCAAGTCACAAGGAGGAGCCCGTTCCTACATCCTCCCTTGGCTATGGACCCCAAGTACTCCACTATGTGTTTGTTACACATGAACAGCATGTTCAGTGGTGATGCAATCAGAACAGGTACAGTCATCATTCTTCCAGTTGTATGTCCAGCACCCTCATGCTTAGAACTCTCAGGTCAGAAACCTAGGGCTAAAACTACACCCAAATGACGAGACTACCACCACCGCTTTGCTAAACAGGTATGTGCCCCATCAATTACTGCGCTTTAAATGAGAATGGCCCTTACACATCTGAATGTTGGGTCCTAGTTGGTGGAACCGTTTACAAGTATTAGGAGGTGTGGCCTTGTTGGAAAAAGTGTGTCACTGTTGGTGGGCTTTGAGGTTTTAAAAGCCCAGTCAGGCCCAGTCGCACTCTCTGCCTCCTGTTCTAAACAGGAACCACAACTGGGCCTAAACCCTTTAGGCCTAACCCTGAAATTGAACCTAACCCTAAAATGGGCATTTTTTATATGATTATAGCCTACTGGGCCTAAAAAGAAAGAATCGGCTGGCTACCTCCTTAAGAGTTGCAAAAGGGTACTACAGGTAAAATAAACAGCAAACATTTGCATTTATTAGGGAACACAGTCAGTCCTCTAAGTCCCTCTCTGAGCTGTCAGCCACCTTCTACAGCCTTGCTACTATCCCAAGCAGCCACCGACCTGCCACCCAGTGTTTGTGATACAGGCCTAAGAGCACCCGAGGACCTTCCCCACCCATCTTCACAATGCAGGCTGCCCTTCAAGGACGTCCCTATATGCCGCCAGTCCTTTGAGCTACACCTGTAACCCTAACCCTAACCTTAACCCTAACCTGTTCCAGGACAGCTAGGGCTACAGAGAAACCTGTCTCAGGGAACCCCCCCACCAAAAAAAAAGAAAAATGCTTTATCTGTTATGCCTCAGCTGTGGCTTTGTAGCTTAGCACTCACCAAGATGTGAAGCCACTGTGCTAGTGACAGAACACCCACTTATACACTTACTCCCTAAGCAGGGGCCCTGTATTGGCAACATAGGCAAAGCCCTGGGGCTAAGTTTACTGCCAAGTTCTGAACCACACCTGCACAGATGTTTAAGTCAAGAAACAGGCCACACGTTGGCTCTGGGTATGTGCACAGCTATATTCAGGATCTGTGTGTAATCAGTGGGTACCAGGAGAACCCAATCAGGACGATTCTTACACAGACCTGCAAGACTGGCTTACATCAGTACCATGGAGCTGTGCACCCTTCTGACAGTCTGCATTGGCACAGCAGTGCTCACAGCCTGTATCACTTTAGGAGTATGCATCCACAGCTATGAGCATAATACCTTTCTAAGGCTCAAGGACTATGGAGGAAGAAGGTGCAGGAAGGGGTAAGAGCTGGAGGGTAGGAAACTAGGTCCAGGCTACCACCCTAACCTGTCTTACTGTGGAGCAGCAGCTGCCAGGACCAACCAGAGATCCTGGCTCAGAAGCAACAAGGATTTAAGCTTCAACTCAGGATGTCAGACCACCATGATAAGTGAAAGGAGCTGTTACCATGTCCTCCAGGTAACAGGCATGGTTCTTTACTGCAGCAGCCTCCTGGAGGAGGCTCACCCTCCCACCTCTGGCACCTGCTAGCCCCGATGAAACAATCCTGACTGGTGTGTCAGAAGAGCTACTCAAACCACCCACCAATCTGTAAGATAACCAACTGGAGAACTGGAGTCAATCCTTTAGGCTGTCGGTACCATTACAATTTGAAGACAATGTTTATATGAATCCATATTCATACAGCAACACAGTGATATAGCACAGAGATTTGTAAACACCAAACCTCTTTACTTGAATGTTGCACCTTACAAATCTTTAAGAGGCAGTCTTGATTACCTTGAATAAAATATAGCCACCATCACACCTTAAATGGCAGGGCGCCATTATCCTGGGCTGGTCTCTAGTACCCAGTTCCCTTACAAGGAACTGCAACCTCCCTTGGTACCTAATTTATAAGTGGGAATTTTGTAACCAATAGCCTTATTTTAGCTTCACAATAGGTTAGCTTCACTGAGTCACAGGCCACTGTGCAGAGATGTCAACTTGGACAAATGCCTGCACGTAACCGATCAAGTTATTTCTTCCATATTTCACTCATCAGCGTCCAAGGGCACTACCCTCTGCAGTTGGGCTCTGTCACTTTCTATTTAGAAGATGCCCAGATCATCACGTTTTCTTTTTGACACTTGAAGGGTACCACAGGCACCCTGAAGCCCTTCACCCCAGAATCCACCTTCCCCACAAGTCACAGGCGGGGAGCACCTGTCTCTTCTCATTGGTCTATCTCACTGCTTCTTTTTTTACTTGCCGGACTGTCTAAAACTTCAATCTTGCCTCTGCCACCTTCTGCATGCGGAAGCTTTATGTTGTCTACGGTGACTTCGGAGGGGATGCAGTCTTCATCTTCAGACTCTGAGCTGTTCTCAGAGTCATCCTGTGAGCTCTCTTCTGAACTCTCTTCTTTTGAATCTGACCGATTCATCTCAAATAAGGCCACATCCTATAAAACAATGTCAGGTTGAGAAATCTACTTCAGGGCAGGTCTTAACATGTTCTAATAAAACAACATGGCCAGCTGCAGGGATGACTCAAGGGGTAAGGGTGCTTACTGACTCCCAGAGGACCCCAGTTCAGTTCCCAGCACCCATTACCAAGCGGCTTGCAACACCTCAATTCAGCTTCAGGAAGTCTAACAGTCCTTTGGGTCTTTGGCCCCCATGGCCACCCTCATAGGAGGCAGACACATACTACCATATAACTCTTAGGTAAAAGCAGCAGAGGAAGCTACAGTACTCTTGTAAACTCTGGCACAGGTTGGCTGTGTGCTTAACGCAGTGGTACTTTCATGCTTTTGGGTGCCAGAGGACAGCGTAAGAGCAAGGTCAGCATCAGTTTATTTTCTTACATCTTTAAAAAGCCTCTTCCTGGGCTGCAGAGATGGCTCAGCAGTTAGGTGTACTAACTGCTCTTTCAGAGGACCTGGGTATAATTCCCAGCACCCACACAGTGGCTCACAACTGTCTTTAACTCCAGGGGATAGGACACCCTCATACAAACATATACGCAGGGAAAAATACCAGTGTGCATAAAATGAAAAAAGGAAAAAAGGTTCTTCCTGCCCAGTACACATTCAACAGCATTCTCTGAATCCAAATGGAGCAGTGGTTCTCAACCTTCCTGATGCTGCTGTGACCATTTAATACAGTTCCTCGCATTGTAGGGGCCCCCAGTTATAACATTATTTTCACTGCCACTTCATGACTGGCATTTTGCTACTACTGGAATCATAATGTAAATATCTGTTTTCCAATGGTCTTAAGCAGGTGGAGACCCACTGGACTATACCAGGCACCACACTGGACACTTTGGACTTAAGAAATGCAAACACTGGCCATAGTGACACATCTATAATCCCAGCCAACAGTGGGGAGATAGGCAGGACTGACAATGAGGCCAACTTGGGCTACATGTAAGGCGTGCCCGCTCCCCAACCCCACTCTCAAAACACTCCATATCTCTTGTCCTAACGAGATTGACATTCCTGAGCAAGGGCCAGCAAATTATAACCAGCAGGCTAAATCCTACCTGCTCCCTTTAAAATGTCATTCTTTTCCTGTTTGGGTGGCAAGTACACTAATTCCATCACATGAAACAGAAGCAGGGGCACAGTTACCATCTGTATGATGTTTCCGGATGTCCCATCAATAGTTTCAATATTGAAGCGGTCAGCTGGAGCGACGGCCATTTCCTTTCGTAGCTTTTCATTTGCCTGGGCCATTTGTGGGAGAAAGGCCTGAACCTGGTCTAACACTGTGGAGAGCAAACATAGCATGCAAACAGATTAGTACATTCCGAACTCCACAGCTCCTAGTAAAACACTTCAGAGCAGCACAAGTAAATCCATCAACTCTTAAGGTGCACCTGCTTCTGAGCTGCCTTGGGTGGGAGGGTGGATGGGGTTAGGGGAGACTGCTACTGCTGGGGATTGAACCAGAGCTTTACTTTTGCTAGGCCAAGAAGGGCTCTACCAAGCAGATACACCCCCCAGCCTCCTTTGGGACTCCCAGAGCAACAAGACCACACAATTCAGCAATTATTACTCAAATAGTCTGTGTTTCTCTTCCATCCTGAAAGCATGAAATTCTAGAAAGTTGGCATTCAACAAGGTAACTACAGGCAGAATGACGCAATGGTTAAGAGTGCCTGATCTTTACAGGGAGGCTGTCAAGGTTACTAATGGGAACCCATTTCTAACCTTTTACTATTTCAGTTACTTACAATGTGTGTCGTCTGCCCAACGTCTGTCCACCTTCCAGCTGAAAATGTTAACACCAAACACTTCTTATTGGAAATAGTCTTGCTGTGTAGCCCAGGCTAGCATTCGCAATGTTCATAAATTGGACTGGTTCCTAACTTGCCATTGTCCTGGACAGCATCATGTCCTGCCCTTCCTGTTCACCTTAGGTCAATACTGTCTCTCACCCAGAACAAGCAAGCCTAGGTATTCTGTAGTCTTGCCCACCGGAATCTGCTCTGGGGCGTAAGCTGCCATGGTGTTCTAGCCAAGCCAGGAAATGGTCAACTTGGGAGAGAAAAAAGCCAAGTAATGAATGTTGGCCTGGAACTTCTCATGAACTACCAACTCGCCACAGCTTGGGGCAGCCATCGTCAGATCAATCCAACACCAAAACAGCAGAGCTGAGAGACAGGCCTCGGTGAGGACATGAGCATCTGGATCCAGATAAACTTACACTTTCTGGGTTCTTTCATTCCCCCCCCCCAAAAAAAAAGCAAAGCTGAGTTTTCCTTAAGGCACACTGTGCTTTCACTCTTTGCAATTCAAAGCTGTGATTAACACATCCAATTTCCCCCCCCACGTTGGCTCCTTTAGTCAACTGGACACTAGCTAGAGGCATCTGAGAAGAGGGACCCTCTACTGAGAAAAGCCTGTGCAACACCCCTGCAGGACATTCTCTTAAGCAGAGTTCCACAGGGGAGGGCCTACCCTGCTGTGGGTGGGGCCATCCCTGGGCTGGTGTCCTGGGTTCTACAGGAAAGCATGCTGAGCAAGCCATGTGAGCAAGCCAGTGAGCTGCACCCTCCATGGCCTCTGCATCAGCTCCTTCTCCAGGTTCCTGTCCCGCTTGACTGTGTTCCTGACTTCCGTCAGCAATGAACAGCAATCTGAAGTGTGAACCCAAATCCTCCCCTCCCCAAGGTGCTTTGGCTATGACATTCCATGAAACCCTAACTAGGGCAGAAACTGGTACCACAGTAGTGGGGCATTACTGTGACAGACCTGGGCATGTGCTTTTAAGAGGCTTGTGGAAGAACTCTGGAACTCTGGGCTTTACATCCAAAGTGAGCTGTTGAGAGGGAGCTCAGAAGAGAAGAGGGCTGAGAGCAGCACAGCGGAGACTAGCTTGTAAAGTTTCAGGCCAGCCTCAGAGTCTCTTAGCGACCGACTCTCCTCTCTCTGCTCCACAACACAGGGGGGCTGTTCCAGGCTCATGCGGCCACACAGCTTTTTAAGTGGCTCCACTCTGAGCGACATCCTAGAGTAAGTAACTGCCAGGTATAGTGGCATGAACCAGTACAGGCAGAGGTAGGAGTAGCTATGAGTTTGAGGTTAGCATGGCCTACACAGAAAGTTCCAGACCAGCCAGGGATAAAGTCCAGGAGCAGAGGAAAAAAAAAAAAAAGACTATAACTAAAGCTAGACATGGCACACATAACTGTATCCTAGATCAGGAGACATAGGAGATCTGGAGTTCAGGACTATGTTTAAGACCCTGTCCCAAAAAGAAAAGTAAATTTGGCCTTTTGGTGAAGGTCCATAAATCAGTTACTTGATAGGAGGAGAAAAAAATCACAAGATCATACCTAGTTACAGAGAGAGTTCAGGGCCAACCTGAGCAACTTACTCAGAGAGACCCTATTTCAAAATAAAAAATTCTGCTTCTCAGTGGTGGCACACACCTTTAGTCCCAATACATGGGAGGCACAGGCAGGAGGATCTCTGTAAGTTTGAGGCCAGCCTGGTCTACAGATCGAGTTCCAGGACAGCCAGGGCTGTTACACAGAGAAACTGTCTGAGATAAGAAGAGAGAAAAGACTGGATATATAGCTCAGCACCAGTGCTTGCACAGCCTGCAAAAAGCACCAGGTTCAAGTTAGAGCAACACCACCAAAGACACACGGCACATTACTGTGGTGAGCACTGGGGAGGCTGAGGGTCTCAACTGAACTTCTAAAAATGAAGTTTTCTCACAGATAGTGAAGGTTTTATGAAAGCTATTTCAACAGTCTCCACGAGGGGGAGCACACCTGTGAGCATGCAATTCACTGTACTGCAGTGTGATTAATGAAGAAGGCTGGCTGTTAGGTTATAGTATTGTCAAGATTTACCACATAAAGCGGTGAGCCGTACAACTGATGCTTGTAATCCCACAACTCAAGAGGCTGAGGCAGCAGGGACACAATGAGTTCAGGGCCAGCCTGAGCTATAGAGTTCTAGTTTAGCTTGGTATGTGAAGTCTTTAGAGGACACAAAGTAACACGTAGATAGGGCCCCAATGAGTAACTTAGTGAATCAGTACGTTTATTGGGCTTACGCAGAGGAACTAGAGTGACAACTCCCAAAAGCTGCCTCCCTGCAGCTCTCTGCTGGGCCCACTAGCAGCTAGGTTTCCCTATTACTGCTGGTGTAATCCTTAGGGAAGGGGTCTTGGGAATCCTGCTAAGTTTACTTCCAAAGGGCATTTACTATCTATAACTTCTTTCGTGTCTTTCTTGCTTTTGGAGAAGGGTTTCTCTGGGTAGCCCCGGCTGGCCTGGAACTCAGAGATCCACCTGTCTCTGCCTCCTGAGTGCTGAGATTAAAGGTGCCTACGTTCTGCATCTTAGCCTCCTTACACCATTTAGAAAATGTTTTGATTTAGGAGGGAATGCGTCAATTCTAAGAATACTTCTATACAACAAACTACACAGGGGCCACACAGACTATATCAAAACAAAATAGTTAACCAATATTGGTGGTCTCCATAACCATATTTAATATTCCAAAGCACGTGAACAATAAGTGCTTTTTCAAACAAGTGAAGTCTTGGTAAGTACCCAAGCTGATCTCCATTACAATTTCCCAACTGCAGATGTGGGACATCTCACTCAGCAGGCAATATTATTTTCAGTTTCAAAAAGAAAACCATTCTGAAAAACTGCAGGCAAGAGATTAAGCTGAGAAATCCTATTCCTTAGACAATGACTTACACAATCAATGTAAGACTTACTGCATTTGACTGCAGAGTTTGATATGAGCCAGTAAGACACACTAACCCATCAAATAAAGGATTAATTAGCCTGCACTGGGGGAGCCCTCCCCTGGAGTAGAAAGGCAGTACTTACAAGGGCTCCTCTGCACCCAAGCTGTTTGAAGACTAGAGGTCTTCCTGAAATGAGGCTTAGAGCTGATAAGCAACTGGTCCCAGATACCTGAAAATACACACCCAATTTACATCATAAACACAGCTGAGCCAGGGGTACAACTCAGCACTGGGTTGACCCTCAGCACTGCAGAACACTGCCAGAGGGGACAGATCATCAGCAACAGCTCCTGCGACTGTCTTCAGTCTGGACCATTCCACACCCTGAGGGAGAAGGGGCAAACCCACTCCTCTACATGCTGGTTCTTCGTGGACAAGCATCTCCCTCTGTCCAGCCCGTCTCACTCATCACCAGAACTCAACTGCAACAGATGTACATCGGATTCCACCTTCTGGATTAACAACGACAAGGTGGCACCTGGACTAATAATAGTAACAAGCGGGCAAGGTGGAGCAGACCTCTAATTCCAGCACTCAGATAGGCCAGGCAGGGTCACAGAGTCAAACTGTCCCAGCAGGAGCTGCTCTTGCAGAGCGCTAGGGCTTGATCCCCAGCACTGCTCTGTGACTTCAGTTCCAGCGGATCAGACACCTTGGGACCTCTCAAACCATCTTCTCGTTACTTAATATGCAGCAGACACGAGAACTTTTATGCATTCGTTTAAATTCTACGGGTAGTCCTACCTGCTTGAGTCAAAATGGGAACACGGAGGCCCTGAAAAAGCAACTTTCATACACGCCCCACTACGGAATAGGGATTTGAACCCACTTTTTTGCTTTTGTTTCGGAGACAGGGTCTCACTGTATTATACCTGTGGCTGTCCTGGCCTCCAACTCAAGAGACCAGTGTGCCTCTGCCTCCCAAACGCTGCCATTAAAAGCGTGCGCCACCACGCCCCGCTGAACCCACGTTTTTCTCTTCTGTATCGCACCATCTGAAACCCGGAGTGGATTTCCTGCACACACCTCTCCCTCCACCAAGGTGACACTAAGGAGTGCGTGCTTAAGACCGAGGTTATTAAAAATGGCATTTCGTCCGTCACCTAGCATCCCAGCCCGGCCAGGCCCTCCCTGTAGCTGTCCGGGCTGGCGCAGTCATTTCCCTGGCGGCCCCGCAGCATCCCCGGCCCCGCAGCATCCCCGGTCCCCCGCAGCATCCCCGGCCCCCCCACGGCGTCCCCTGCCCCGCTCAGTGTCCCGGGCCCGCCGCATCCCTAGCCCCCCCACGGCGTCCCCGGAACCACCAGCCCAGCCCTCTCTCCGCGGCCGCCGCTCACCTCCTGAGCCCTCGCTCCCTGCGGTCAGCAGCTCCCTGGACACCGTGACCTGCGAGCGGTCCCCAGAAGACGACGAAGCTGCAGCACTAGACACGCGTTCGCCGTGAAGCTCCATACTTGCAAAACAACAGGAAGGAAATGAAGCCGGATGGAGGAAAGCGTGGGGCGGGGTCAAGGCAGCTATTGGCGGAAACTCGGAGGTGGGCGGTGACAGTGGGGGGAGCGGGTCGGATGCTGGTGCAGGAGGCGGGGCTGGAGCCATGGGCAGGCGGGGGCGGAAGCGGGGTGGGGGGGATGGCAGCGTGGGCGGAGCGCTGCGGAAGCACGTGTGGGGGCATCTTGCAAAAAGGTCTCCCCTTGTTGTTATTGGCAGAGTCAGCAGGGCTTGGCTTAGACAAACAAATTCAAGTTGAAGAACATAGTGTGAGGCCTTTGTCGTTCTGTTTTTGTTGTTGTTTGGGGAGGTTTCTGTGGTCTTAAATTTGTGGCAATCCCGCTTTAGTCTCCCAAAAGCCAGGATTATAGACGGGAACCACCACACCCAGTTCCTCTACCCCGTTCTTAAAATAGAAAAAAGTCATTTTGTCATGCTGGTCTGGTTGACCTCAAGCTAATCATTTTCCTGCTTCAGTTTCTGTGTACTTAGATACCGGCACCCATCACCGTGCTTGGTTTAAATTATTTGCTAAACCAAGTATCACCAAGTTACTCAGGTTGGCTTGGTAATCAAGGTCCTCCTAGTCACTTAGCCTTCTAAATAGCTTGAATTACATGCCGGGCAGTGGTGGCGCACGCCTTTAATCCCAGCGATCAGGAGGCAGAGGCAGGTGGATCTCAGTAAGTTCAAGGCCAGCCTGGTCTACAAAGCTACACCGAGAAACAGGTTGGATGACAGATGTGGACTACCAGACCCAGCTGAATTTGGATTGTAAACATAAAATTCGGCACCATGAGTACTGTTTACATTGCTATGCAACAAGCCTTCAGAGTATTTTCATCTCAAAATACTAAAAGATTGTTCTAGGCAGTAAATGATAAAGTTCGTATTGGAGGCCTGAGTTTGGTCTCCAGCACCAAAACAATTTTTTAAAACCCTGAAACTAGACCCATTGAATAGCAATTCTTCCTGCCCCTGGTACCCATGCTCTGCCTTCTCTTTCCATATAAACAGAATCGTGAACCACTTGTTCTTGTGACTTATATTTCACTGAAAATAATACCTTCAAGGTTTACTGGAAACTATCCCTTTCTATTTTGATGTTGAATAATATGTCATTGAATTATGTACCATATTTGCATTTGTGGGAGAAGGAATTTGTTTGGGAGGGCAGGGTCTCACTATATAGCCCAGACTATACAGTTGAACTCCAGGCTACCCTCAAATAACCCCAAAGTGTTGAGATTGCAGAGAGGCTTTGTTATCAGGGCTAGATCAATAACACATTATCTTTGATCGTAGATATGTGAGCTCCTTCCACCTCACGACTGCTGTGAACAGGAGCTGCAGTTAATATTGCAAATGTCGCATCAAGCTAAGAGTAATAGCACGGGTCTTTAATTCAGCACTCAGAAGACATCGAGGCAGGTGGGTCTTTGTGAGTTCAAGGCCAGCCTGGTCCACATAGCAAGATCTAAAACAGCCAGAGCTGCACAGTAAATCTATATCTAACAAAACAAAACACTCGTGGGGGGGGGGCAGGGCACATGGCACGGGTATGGAAGTCAGAACAACTTGAGGGAGTCTGTTCTTTCTTTCCACTTTGTTAATCCTATGAATTATAGCAGCAGACACTTTACCTGATGAGCTATCTGCCAGCCCAAATAACACAATTAAAATAGGATCAAAGGGCTTGAGTATATTCGTCTTCTTTTTTTTTTTTGAAAGTGGACAAATGTTTATTGTTCATTTCATGCAGTCAGGTACTCTTCAACGACATCTTTAGCTTGAAATTATTTGCCATAGTCATTTGTCACTACACCACTGCAACCTATCACTTGAGTATTCGTCTTAGACCACATCTGAGCTCACATATACCATACACAGACACACACAAGTACAGCAATGTCCCTAATCTGCCTGAGAAACTAGAGACTATGTTCCAGTCCATGAAAGTAGTCCACATGTGATTGGATCCTAAGTGAGCTGTGGTGACAGCTGCCTGCCTGGCCTACACTGCAGTTAAAGAGTCATGCAAATGAGGCTGAGCTGCCCGTCAACAACAGCACCAGGGAAGACGTGGACTCGACCCTCCATGCCAGCCTCTGCTCCAGCTGGGAAGTGGGAAGGGGGAGGGGTGGCTATGACACTACACCAAGTTGGCCTCAAACTTGCCTCAGTCCCCCTGCTTCTGCCTCTTGATTTCCGGGATTACAGGCCTTTGCCACTGTGGGAACACCAGACCTTGAGCAGAAACCCACTTCCCCTTCTGCCTGGGAGTAGGCAGCTGTAAGACAATGTTTAGTAAAAACGTGTTTACTAAAAATGATACAATAAGTTCCTGGCCACTTCCCCTTCTGCCTGGGAGTAGGCAGCTGTAAGACAATGTTTAGTAAAAACATGTTTACTAAAAATGATACAATAAGTTCCTGGGAAAGGCCTTCCCACGGAAACCGCCCTGACCTCGACCTTGTCAAAAGACTAACCGCACCTTCAAAAAACCCACACACATCCACCTCTGGTGTCAGAGCAGGACCAGCCAGGGGAGAGGAGAGAGCAGAGGCTTCTCTGGTGGGAGCCTTTCTTAGGAAGTTTTTCTTGAACCTTTTTGGAGCCTGTTTAAAGTTCTCTTTATATCATTGAACGAGTCTCTGTGTTATCAATACCCGACACCCTCCGCACGTTCTCGGACACAGGCCGCGCAGCAGTCGTGACATGCCACCATCAACTTCATTGTTTTAGTTTGTTTATTTTTTTTTAACACAGAGCCTCAGGTAACCCAGGCTGCCCTCAAACTCACCATGTAGTCAAAGGTCACCTGATACTCCTGTCTCTACTCCCCACATCTGGTTATGTAGTTATAGGATCAAACCCAGGACCTCGTGCATGCACGCTGAACAAGCACTCTGCCAACTGAGCTACAGCCCCAACCACTGAATTTGTTTTTTAAAGTCAAAACAATTTTGTTTATTTCCATACCTTTAAATGTTATCTCCTGGGTTAAGTTTCTAGGATCTTGTCCTAGAACAGCAGTGCATCTAACACTGGCTTTTCAGCTTCTGCTAAAAGGACTTAAAAATACATTCAGAATTAGGACATAACCCTGCTTTCTAGTAGAATGGTTTAATACAATGCAGGCACACTGTAAGGGATGGAACCTACCTCTAGGTGGAGACATGCACTTATCTCCTTCTTAAAGGGTTAATCCAAAGCGGCAGAGGAGGACTTGGTTATCTGATCACCCCCTAGCAAGACTGGTTCATCTTAAAATATCTTGCTCTTCCTGTCCAGAATTCCCACCCCTGATACTGTCCCCACTAGCTAAGGTGCCTTGCAGTGACTCCAAGTTTCCCTGTCTTTCTGGGGCTTATTTCTTCTTTTCTTTTTCTTCTTTTCAGGCTCCATAACTAAAGCTCCCCTTCAGGGCATGTGGCTATGTGCCACTTTGTGACCAACCTCCACGTGGCCTTATCGTAGGGAACTGGGGGTTTGTTCCTTCTCTTCTCCATTGTACTCCTCCCTTCCAGGCTTGGGGGTTTCCCTGGAGTTTCCCTTTTAAACCCAATAAATGGTCCCCGAGCTTCTGTTTGTGTCCATTCTTAAATTATTTTACCAACTAAACTAAAAGCCCTAAGGAAGTTCCCCCATTTCTCGGGTATTCTGTGACAGCTCTGCTGGGATTCCCCTTTAATTCTTCAACTGGCAGAGAAAATGAACCTGTTCCTGTGACTCTAGACGCATCTCTACAACACAGCAGAAGTGAGTTCAGGAGGGGACACATTCAAGAGCGAAACTGCAGGAGAGGACCAGCTGAAGTACTTGTTTCCCATGTTGGCAAACCGTGTTCAGCATGTACTGTTTCCTGTCCTCATCCTACAGATGCAATCTTCTTTTGATCTATTTCCTGCTGAGAAGGTTTTTCCAAGTGTACATATTCTGATCACAAATGGGTGTAGGCTGTCCCAGTTACAGGCCCTATCCAGGACAGAGAGGTCTCCATTATCGTAAAATAAATAGGTTCATGTGGTCGTAAATGCCCACTATTCCCTTTGAAATGGCCCAACCAGAACCCTACACAGTGGGCGTGAACTTCAGATTTATTTAGCTAGGAACACAGCAGGGCTGTAGGCAGAGGCGGCTGCAGAGACTGTGTGGACACAGGGCATACGTCTTTGTACCTCTTGCTTGTGGGACTCAGCAGAGTGCAGGGCTCCTGCTAATACCCTAGCCTTCCAGCCTTCTTGTTTACTTGCTTTGCTATAATTTCTTAGTAGATAATTTGTAAAAGTAATGCTTGTATACCTATTATGCAGATTCCAAAATGAATACATTTTGTCTCTCTGTTTCCTTTTTCCTTTTTTGATGAGGGGTGGGGATGCACTAGGGATTCAATCCAGGAAAAAAAATTTTTTTGAGAGTGTCTCACTGTGTTTCCTTGGCTAGACCTGAACTCACTGTGTAGCTTTGTAGGATATTGTATCACACTGAGAACTCCAAGATTGTGTTATTTACTGGAAAAACCTGTTTCAAGTTGTAGTGTGGCTTGGCCCTAGCAGACACCTTGTATCTAAGAGTTTTCTGACTGAATATTGTAAACAGGATTAAATAAAGTCAACCATAGGTCAAGAGGCAGGAAAATAAACAAACAAACAAGCAAACAAAAAGCACAGAGATTAAGACTGAGTCAGAAGGACAGAGAGACACGCAGGAAGTAGGAGAAACATTCAGTGTGAGGGGTTTTGTTTGAGACAGCTAGGAGAAAGGCCTTTTTTTTTCTGGGACATTGGCAGAGGAGGGTCAGCTGGGTGATCGATCTGCCTTTCTGAGCTAGCAGATTTTCACCCCAGCATCTGGCTCCTGAGTCTTTATTGGTAAAATCAAACAATTGAGATTCAGTCAAAAATCACACTGTTAACCAGGCTGGCCTTGAACTCACAGAGATATACTAGCCTTGGCCTCCTGAGTATTGGGTTTAAAGACCTGCTCCACTACACATG